GCTCTTGAGATTTCGGCGATCGGTCACCAATAACAGTAAATCTACAGTCCTACTGGCCAAGTATTGTGTTCGGTGTTCAAAGCTTTGGTACAGACCAACAGTATGTACAGGACATGTTTCTTCAGTTTCACATGAGGACTACACCACTTGTAACACTTGTACACTTGTGTAGTTTCTGCTTTTCTCAAAATGGTGAAAAAGACGCGTTTAACGCTGGTATGCACATTTTTTTCTGCTTCATGTACACCAAAGACAGTACAACAGCACATTTAGACTAATTAATCTGCACAAAGACAATGCTACCTTGCACATACTGTATATTGCAAGATAGTAATACAGTATATTAGTTCACGAAGTAATTATCGCGTCTTAACATAATGTTTTCTCTTTTAAAAGCAAAACATATCTCATTTAAACGCATTTTTTTTTCTCCGTGGCGCTCATAAGCTTCCATACAAAACTGAAAGCAGAATTGTAATTTTTTTATTAGCCTTGGGTCTCTATACACATTCCACCCATTTTTGAGGATGCACAATTTTGTTTTCTTTGGTCAGAGATATAACATTATCCCATCCCAGATTTATTTTCTTCTTGAGGCGTGTTTTAGGGAGACTTTTAATGGAGTTTGTAACGAAAGTTCGGGAAGGACGGTGACAAGCGAAATCAATCAGACTCAGATGTCGGTAATTGGCAATCACAGCTGACGTCATTTCCTCTCCTGAGCACTAGAATACCGTATAAATACCGTACGTGATTCCCCCCCTTCTCTTTCTCCCCTCACATATGTCTGGTCACTCTTGAATGCGGTGAAACTCTCAGCCGGGGCTGGGTGTCAGTTTTTGTGATCACGCCTCAAGCCCACCCGTGGTCTGTAATGGGGAGCCCGTTGCAGGCGGCTTCAAGTCTGGAAGCTTTTTACGAGCAGCGTGCCGGTTTCGCCCGTGAGCCCAGCCCAGACGAGGAAAGAGTACGGATTTCTCGCCGTTATTTGAAGCGGGCTGAGAGAACGAGAGGCTGGCGATAACTGCGCCCACGGGCCCCGTGGCAGTGTCGGGGTCCGAGTCTCTCTCGAAGACGGGTAAGACTTCCATTGCATGATTGCCGGGGTTAAACTTTAATGTTTCACTGGGTACTCATTAAGTAGCATTCCAGTTCAGCATAATTCACTGTTGGATTTCAAGAAGGTGGTGAAGTTAGGTAGCCTAGATTCTGGATGTCACCTTCTGCTTCCTTGTTAAACCGAGCCTCAAAAGAAATTAATACAGGTGCTAATA